TGCTTCACGCGCTGGTATCGGGAGAATAGATCCCCACTCGCCCGCTGCGTCGCAGAAGTTGATGATCTCCAGTATCTCCGCTGGGTCACGTTAGCCAGCATGTTTGTTACACGTACCGATCTACTCACCATCGGTCATGTCCCTCGGTCGCTCCATCTCGCTTCCCCGCCTTGTTGGCTGCGCCGATTGATCCGGATTCATCTGCATGAACCGCATAGGGTACTTTGGCTGCTTCTTCATCCGTGAGACGATGCTCTGATACGTCGCGAGGTAGTCATCTCTTCGTGCACCTGAGATCTTCGCTAGCTCGTAGTCGTTGTGGAAGGGCGAGAGAAAGTTAACGAGCCAGATGATGTCGGCATCACGACCGGGATAGTACTCGAGGCTTTCAATCAACCGCTTGGTGAGTCGCAGGGCGAACAAGCCGATGACGAGGAAGTCTGGAGCAGGCGGTGGTGGAGAAGGGCGAGGTGGTAGTCGCGGCGGTGCGGATGGGCCACGCACGATGTCGGGAAGAGGCGAGAGAGCGGATCTGGGTTGCTGCATGTTGATGGTGTGTCGATGGAGGACGATAGTCTGTCAGTGAAGGTAGCAGTCTAGACCCAGCACATCTGGTCGCGTGCTTGGCGGTAAACGGAAGTCGCGACTCGATGGCGCGGTGACGACCGTGAAAACAAGCGAGTCCAACTTCTCGCCAACATGATCAAGTTACCTTACTTGCACCTGCTGTGCGTTCTCTGGGGTCTTGGGTGTTATTCGTTGCTATAATGGGCTTACCCAACGCGTGTGATCGATTTTCCTACAGCTCGGCGTAGACAAGACAGCCCCGACCAAAGATTTGAGACTCAAGCCTGTCTCCAGCCAGTCTCTTAATCCTCAGCGCATGATATCTGATCACCTTGTACCATACACGAGTTGGCTCTTGGGCTCGATCGTCGATTTGGTACACATTGTCGTGTGCTTGGCAGGCATGTTCCTGGGCAGACCAGAGTGCAAAGAATGACCCATCTTACTCAGACGTGTCTATCCAAGCAAATATCGAGTGATAATGTCGCGACACCACGTTTACATGCTTCGCAGGACACTGGCGAGGAACACATGCACGATGACGTCACGCGTAGATTAGCGTGTATGAGTCGAAATGACCATTGGACGGTGCGCAGTGACTCCTGCGTACCTTCCCATGTATATAGCACCAGGCTATACTGGCATTCGCAATGCAGTTACCTGTCAATAAAGAGAGTAATTCAAAGATCAAGATCGACTGTCTACGATTAAACCGAATCATGGATTACCCATTCATCCCAGGAACCTCAACAATTCCCTCCAAGGTTCTGGGACCTATATCAACGGAAGGACCTCTGCCTGATGAGCTTTTGTCGCCGAAACGACCTCTTGTTGACTCAAAGTCCATATTCGCGTTCTGGCATTCTGGCATCCGAACGATCCCACCCGTCCTACTACGCAACGTCCTTGCTTGGTACCGCCGCTTCTCACCACTGGGATGGACTATCTATGTCCTTGACAACGTGCCAAATTCCCCACTAAATGTAGGTAAGTACATCGACACCAAGTCTTCCTCGATCGTACCGGCGGCATTCACAAACAGCACCCTGGGCGGACAGTATGCCGCACAACACACCTCAGATCTAATCCGCTATCCGCTCCTGTTGAAGTACGGTGGTGTGTATCTCGATGTTGGCATCCTTCAATTTGGCGACCTAAACCGTCTCTGGACCGAACACATCACCAACCCAGATTCGCCTTACGACTTCGCCGGCTTCACGCTGGGAGCAGATGAGCCGCAGATTGTAAATTTCTCGCTCATGTGTCGAGCGGAAAACCCGCTCGTGCAACGCGCACATCACATCTTGCTCCAGGTCTGGGAAGGCAAGACCAACACGATCGGCACACATGCGCATCCAATGGTGTCCCACGTCCCGCTTATGCGTGTGCCACAAGACGTTGTTGTAGAAGAAGAAGGACAGGAGAAGATGGTGATCAACGACGAAGCCATGACCGACTATGCGATTCAAATCCAATGCATGGGATCGGCGCAAGGCTGGGTGGATGAAGAAGGTGGATGGGACGGGCCGAAGTATGTCAGAGAGAAGTGCTGGCTGCTCAGCATGATGGACGGGGCATTCGCACACGAGCAGATGACTGGATGGAGTGGTCAGAGGCAATTTGATCTTCTGAGCCTTCGATTACCCAAGGAGAGCGAGATTGAGACAGACGATCAAGCACTTGCGAGGCGTATTGTAGAGAAAGTAGTGGCGGATAGCTGGTGTTTGAAGCTTGGGCACGGGTTTTCGGCGAAGCTGTTCGGAGGCGACACTCTCGGTATGCTGTGGAGAAAACATCGTGGCAGCGACTGTGCCAATAGGACGTATGCGGGTTGGCTGAGATGGGCAGAAGTGGGCTATTGTCGCGACAGCGATGTGGTACCTATGAAGGTTTCCGTGTATGAGCCGACTAGGAAAGCGAAACTTTTGCCATGAAAGGACGAAAGGCATGATGGAAAGAAAAGGGCGACTTGGGCGAACAATGGACTGCTCGAGATAGCGCCCAGAAATTTAGTGTAGAACTATGTCATTACACAGCCGAAGCGGATCTGCCCGCCTCCCCTTTTCTCACGCCCACGGCCACGCCCACGCTCAATGCCATCCCCTCCCTTCAGGCTTCCGGAAACTTGCGTATCGACTCGCAGACATCTCATGCACAGGTGTAACTTCATGCGCCATCATCTCTGACGGCTGCCGCGATACTGGTTCAATTGTTTGCCCATCGATCTCGCTGACAGCAGGGTTCTTGGCTCGGCGGTTCCGCCTAAACAGCAGGAAGCCTATGGCTCCAAGCACGGCCAGTCCAGCAACACCTCCCACAACGCCACCTGCTATTGCACCTTTATTGGTCGATTTACTTTCGGCTGTCGGAGTCGGGCTCGCGGGCGTGATGCTGGTAGGTGTGCAAATCGTGGTAGGGTTCGGCGACAGGTTTTGCGCATCGGCTGCGACAGCTGGCGCAAGTTGAAACTCGCTTTTCGCGTAGTCTACTAAAAGATAGTTGAAGGTCAAGAAGAGCCCTCCCAGGGTACTGTCAACATCGCCTGGATCATCTTGTCGCGTATCCGACACGAAGGCTTCGAGTGTGCTGTCGTTGGTGATGGCATACCGGCCGTACTCGTCAGATCCGCGTAGTGGCGCGAACAATTCCTTGTTAGGTATCCTGGACTGATAGCCGCCTGCCAATGTTACAACGAGATCGCCGCCGGGACGATTCGAGACGTTGTAATGCATCTTTCCCGGATATGCGGTCTCATTCTGGCTAGTAAAGTTTCCGAATGCCTGCGCGATTGCTGGAGGAAAGACGAAGCGCTGAGTCGATGGCTCAATGCAAGCAATCAGCCCATCGCTTCCGTCTGGTATAAGCGGTATGTCCTGATACGTCAGGTTTGTGACCGTTACCTGTAGAGGGCAGGCCCGCTCGAGGTTCCATTCGCCGATCGGGAAAGTGGTGAAGTTGGATGCTGGGTCAACCCGCGCGCGATCATATCCTCCCACAACGAGCAGACCGTCATGTGGATCGATACCCCTGCTACCACTCCAGAGACCGAATACCTGAGATGGCGCGACACCACCAGCGACTGCAGCGCGGAGGAAGGAGGAGTTGGTTCCGAGAGGTAGACCAGATTGCACACCTGCTATCAGTCAGCTCCATTCATAGCTCGACAGCCCGCATTGGACGAGACGTATTCAGGGATCCTCACCTCCCCAGACTTCACTATCCATGACCAATGGAAAGCCGTCGACATTGCCATTCTCCTGAAACGCGACATCATCGTTGAGATAAACGTATGCACCGGTACTGTCTTCAGCGTCGACTTGGCTGCCATTCCACTGGCTCTTGATCGAAACCGCATACGATGTCGACTTTGGCGCATCGAAAGCACCACCTAGACCACCAATGCAGCTGTCGTTGCTCGCAGATCCGCAATTGATGACATTGTTGATTCGCGTGTTGTTGAGCGTAGTCGACGGTCGGAAAGCAAAGATCTGGTGCGGAGTTCCGATACCAAGTTCAATGCCACGTGCGACACCGAGACCATCCTGTGTGACAGTGATGTTCGACCAGGTGAGTGTCAGAGGAGGGATGTCGCATTGCGCTGCTATCAGGCGAGGTTGGAAGAAGACGAAGGCAGCAAGGCTGAGAGTGAAGCTACTTTTTATGCGCCATGATGGAGCCATGGCATTGAAGCGGGCTGAAGCATGTGCAGGAGAATTGGCTCGTCTCACAGGAGCATCAAGGTCAAGTCGGTGAGCAGAGATGAGGAGGTAAGCAGACAAAGGAACCAGCGTGCGCAACGTAAGCCGGGCGCAGGTTGTACTCCTCGAAACCGACGCCCAAAGAGATTTCTCGTACTATCATGCATAGTGATAGCAGCAGTTTTTCTGATTGGAGTTACATTCTAGTGGCGCAACCTATTGGGCGTGAGTAGCTGCATTGTCAGCTTGAAACGTCGGTCAATGTGCCTGCTTGCATGCCGATCACATCTATCATACCTGGGATCTCGATTGCTAGTCGATATGCGGCGAAACCTGGATTTTCTGTTGTTGGGTGTGTGCACCGCTTTTGGACGAGGCGGAGGGTGCATGAAACCACCCCGCTTTGTGCTTCTACATCGTACATAACGATCACTGGTCTACTACGAATGAGCCACCCGAATGAATATTAAGATCCCTAGGTGCGTTAAACCGGCAGGCCGTGCCTACTGCATTCAGCATATCCTTCGAGCATCGAACACATAAGGCTGTATCTGTCAAGCAATATCATCGTGCAGCGGCATATTTCTGATCATATGTACCAGCTGCGTTATCACGAAATAGACGTAACCTGAGTTGATGGACTGGCAATGACCAAAAGGCTGACAACATATGTTTGACAGCTTTGTTTGTTCCAGTTGATACACCAAAACCATATAGAGCCTGCATGGGCTGCTTCTATAGTCTGCTCGATCGTCCTCGGAGGGACCGATGAGCGTCAGTGGGTGGCTCCATACCCGAAAGATACTGGTGATGCGGAGGTGGAGGAGGAGGTGGTGGAGGAGGTAGCGGAAGCAGTTGCGCATAGGGAAGCTGCGGAGGAGGAGGTGGTGGTGGCGGTGGGTAACTGGATATCTCGTGGATAGCCTTCTGCAGCCGTACAAGAGCCTTCTTCTCCCCTTCTCCATACATGACCGGCAACTGGACGTCGAACATGCCAAACAGACAATAAGCTGTGTCTTCTTCGCGTTTGGTTTGACGGCCTTTTGTCCAGGACATTCGCTCGCTAACGCTGTATGAGAGGAAAGACCTTTTCTTCCAAAAGATCTCGATGGGTATACCGGTAGCAAGATTGATCTGATGTGAAAGAGATCCTTTGTTACCGAGCATGTTCCCATCAGCAGAAAAGAAGTCGACAGATATGGGTGCGAGCAACTCCTGCAAAGTCCAGCCGCGAGTGAACCATCTACTTTTATGGAAATCAGACTTCCGGTGTTCGTTAGCTAGTCCGTTTCGTGTTGACCATACATCAGCCAAATATGCGTAACAAATACTAAACGACACAATGCTCATTAGTCTCGTGCTGGGACGATACATAGTTGGGGAAAATGGCAGCCTGGTACTTACTGTGCACCTCGATACCATCGAAACATTGAGGTTATAGCCTCTGACAGCTCCGCGCTGCTCGCCTTGTCGATGCAACAAGAATCGACCCAGAAGTGATCCATACCATCAAGCGACGCCTGCTTGCCGCAAAAATGCAGCTTCTTATACCCGATTTTCAGCGTCGCTTTGCCTTCAACCAGGTCCTTGTACGTAACTTCCTCGCTGTCAGCGCCCCAGGTGTGCGAGAGGATCGCGTACGGAGGTATGTCTTTCTTAAAGTATTCGACAAGGCTGAATGCGTCATCAGGTTCTATGCGCAAGAGCCGCATGGTTGGCGATGAGTCAGAAGTCTGGAGAATTGATACTTTGTGAATATGAGAGTAACTGTAAGTTCAGTTTTCAGTGCGCGATAGAGTTCTGAAGGCTACAGGCTATACACAAGGCGCGGATATGTCCAAGGTCGCGCATACGCATGACTGCGCCACCACAAAAAGGCGGAAGCAGTCGGGATTGCCTTCCATCATTGCTCCGCCGGCGATGCATCAACGAGACAATAGCTGGAGTTGGATTCCGATCGAGAGATGAACATTGGCTTCTTGTTTGTATGTGAAGAAAACTAGCGATGGTTCGTTCTGTATAAGCGGTATGCCGGATTCTGGATAATCTGGGGGCCGTTTCTGAGTGCCCATTGTTGGTGGTGATGACATGAGCCCGTGCTACCGCGGCAAATCCTTGCCCGATCCACGTCAACACCTGGGCACCAAACCTCCAACTACCTATTTCCATAGGTATCGGTCTTTAAAATAATGATCAAGCCTATGTGCAATACTGAGTTATTCAATCAAGCCCTATTGAATAGGCCCATGATCCTGGCATTCTGGAAAGTAAGAGGCGACCAACTTGAAGAGACCAGATGACGTCATCGCAGGTGTTTCGCCGATTCGCAACGTATAGGTTTCGGTTGTCTTCATTACATCCAAGCAAGCAATGACTATAGATAGTGCTCAAAGCTCGATCAAATCTGGACTCCCACATCTGGTTCTCTATCTATACTCGCGCCGAAGCTCAGAAGACGAAACGTTACAAGTCATTTGCGCAGGTTTGCGTCCGGACAAGGCCCGATCGGGCTTGAAACCATCATCCCAATGGCATCGCAAAGTCAAGACTTCAAACTCGTATGCGATGGGCATACGTGTGAAGTATGCGACAAACTGTCTGAGACTCCTGACCAGCTTCGAGCAGGCGCTGAGAGTCAATGCCCTTTATCTCTTGTGCGACTGGCTTGTGTAGAGTGGGCTCTAGCACGACTGGGTCGAGATGTCCCCAGGTGCGATATTCAATACAGCGGGCCATTTCGATTGATGGTTTTTGGAGACTCTGTGGCGCTCTACTTGGAACTTTTCGATCTCTGCGGTACGTGAATTGACAGCTGCCAGAGGGTGCTCACTAACTTCCCCAGCGACCTCCCCGGCATCAGGAAGATTAATGCCAAGCTCGACTAGCCCAGACAGCACTTTCTCAGCCATTAAGAGTTGGCTGGAAGACTGCTTAAAGAGCCACGATGGTTGCGCTAAATCAGTTTCTAGCGCACGCCTCAGCGGTCAGAGAAGCGCAAGATTCCTAAAAATCGAAGAAGATCGGCTACTCCTTTTACAAGATATAAGCTCCGCGCAATATGTTTGTCTGAGTCACTGCTGGGGAGGTGGCGAGGGTATACTCCGGACGACAGAGTCTAACTTCATTGAATACTCGAATGGAGGTATTCCTATGGGTAGCCTTCCGGCGACCTTCAAAGACACCGTTACTATCTGCCGACTCCTCAAGGTTTCTTACTTATGGATCGACAGCCTGTGTATTATTCAAGATAGCGACGAAGACTGGCGTAGTCAGTCTGCGGCTATGGCCGACATTTATGCGAACGCGTTCCTCACGGTCGCAGCATCGGATTCTGAGAACGCTACAAAAGGTTTATTTCGAACTGCTGATCCCGACTTTCGAGGTAAGCCACTTCCAGGCCACTCGGGAGTGTATGTACGGCTGTTGAACGAATGGGACATTACGTGGCCGCTTTTAAAACGAGCATGGGTGTTCCAAGAGCTTGTCTTATCTCCCCGCATCATACATTTTGGTCCCAACGAGGTTATATGGCAATGTCGATATGCAGTCAAGTCCCAAGGTCGTAAGCTAGATCGGGTTCTATCACCGTCGATTCACGATCTGTATACGACAAGTTGCGTGACGGAGGACCTTCAATCTAAAGATTCGAATCTTACAACGGTATGGTACGAGATGGTGAGGTTATACAGTCAACGGAGACTTACCTACAGTAAAGATCGTTTGCCAGCGATCGCTGCAATTGCCAGAATAATGCAGTCACTACGACCAGGCGATGAGTACATTGCTGGAATCTGGCGATCAACTCTTTGTTTGGACATGCTATGGCGCACTCGTTTGTTGCCAGCTGAATGGAAATGGACCGAGGATCTGCTGGCGGCAGTCAAAAGGCGTATGGCTGGAGGCATACCTACTTGGTCTTGGGCATCCACAAGTGCAGGGGTAGAATGGTTGGCAGCGGACACGGTTCTCTCCAACGTTGAGATCCTCCAGGTCGACTACAGAGTGCATGGGCCGACTGTCTCTGGTGAGATTACTGAAGCTGCGATCACTATACGCTGCCCTTTGATCGATCTTTGGGACATCAGATACCACTGGGATGTGCCAATCTCGCTCGAGGAGGCGACTCATGAAGGCTTTTCAGCGGGATCAAGCGAATTGACACGTGGCCAACCCCAGTGGGACGACGTGGAGCTGATTCACTATCATGACATCCAAGCTCGGCTGTATTTGCTATTTCTCGCTCTGAAACAAGGACCATCTATATTCCGCGATAAGCCATGCGCGCTGATCGTGATGGAAACAAATCATCCAGGTCACTTCGTTCGCCTAGGTATCGTCGATGTACATTTCGCGGGGTGGTGGGCCATCTTTATGCGATCAGGAGATACCGAGTATGTGGAAGGCTACCATGTCGACGGGCTGACGGAAGAGTACAACAATCGTCTCAAGGAGATGCTTGAAAAGACGGACACGCAAATTGTAACACTACTCTGATCTTAAGAAGTGTACCGGGGATGAGGCAACATGCAAGGCGACGTTGCTTGGGAAAACGGGTCGTAGTGTGCATGCCGAATGTGGTCCGAGTCAGAATGACATTTTTAAGGTGTATGTCTCTTATACGAAGCCGTTCTCGATTGGATTCCGATCGAGCGAACAACCGATGGGCGTTTGTCTAGTCTCTTTTTGAGCGCGATGTCATTGCCAACTCGGTGCACCGCCACAATCCAAGCCGCTGGACCCCACCAAGACATCCCTACGCGTGTCCCGCCTCCAGGTCCCAGCCCAACCACTAGCCGCAGCCAACACCAGAGGTCGACACGACATTCAACAACACTATTCACACAAGTCCACGTACTCAGATACTATCGCCGACCATACAAGATGGCGCCTTCAGTCTCGTTAGTCGTACGTTCCATGGCGACACCAGATACTGCCATCGCGACTGCCAGCTAATGCGGGGCAGAACAAGCTCAAGGTACAGCTCAAGCTGTCAATATCGCGACTGCGCATGGTCCAGCAGAAAGACAGCGCCAAAGTAAAACAGCAGAGGAGAGAGATGGCGCAACTGATCGAGGTACGTCGCCAGCTCATTACAGGCAATTGTCGCATCGCCTCGCCCAGGCGCAAGGCAACCGCGCGTATCCAGACATCACCGCGTTGCCCTCTACATACCCAGAACTGACGTCTATGTAGGTCGGCAAAGTGCAATCAGCGCGCATACGCGTCGAAAACATAATCCGCACCGACATCACCACGGAACTGCACGAGATCCTCGAACTCTACTGCGAACTCCTCCTCGCGCGCTCCCAACTCCTCGAATCGCAAGTATCCTCTTCAAACACCACCTCCGCATCCACCTCGACCCTCCTCGACCCAGCGCTAGAAGAAGCCGTCCGCAGCATAATATACGCCGCGCCGCGAACCGAGATCAAGGAACTGCATACCGTGAGGGCGCTGTTGGTGGACAAGTTCGGAAAGGATGTCGCAGTCGCTAGTATGGAAGGCGAGGGTGTTGCAGAGAGAGTCATGAAGAAGTTGAAGGTTGAGACACCGAAGGAGGAGCTGGTCGAGGCATACATGACGGAGATTGCGAGGTTCTACGGAGTACCATACGGCACAGCCAAGAGCGAAGACGAAGACGAAGACGAAGACGAAGACGACGAGCCATCAGGTGGCGTAGCGGAGAAAGTAGATGCCGATCTCGAAGACCCCATATCGACCGACGACAGCACGAGCAAAAAGGCAGAAGAGCGGGAAGCGCTAGCGAAAGCCTCGACACCCAAAAAGCTGGGCCCGCAAAGTCCGCTGCGAGTCGTTCCGCCCAGCCCCAGTACGGATAATGTAGCGCCGAGGTTGAAGTTGCCGGGCAGTGCGGCGGCGAAAGTAGCGAAGAGTGAGGCGAATACGAAGAAGCCGGCGAAGAAGGAGGATGGGCTGGGCAAGATTCCTGATGTGGATGAGCTTTCGAGAAGGTTTGCGGAGTTGAAGAGGTGATGCGATGACAATGAGGAGCTGATTGTTTGGCCTGGAATTCAGTGGACTTCCTATCTAAGGTTTCCACATCGAGGACGAGTCTGGTAGGAGTGCCCCAGACTGCGCACGAATCATGTAAAGAATAAGACTTTTGGCACAGTGCCAAGGAGGTAAGCCCGAAAGTGAGGGACTGCGCACGATAGTCATGGCCGTGATTTAAGTCTCCTACTCTTCAAGATAGCCAGCTGCTGGGCTGCGCGCAATGATATCGATGCAAATTGCTCCTGTTCTCCACAAACCTCACATAAGTTATCACATTGTACGGCTTCCCATGTTGAACTCTCAGACATCTTCAATCGCTACACTGGGAACCAGGGAATGTGTGGTACATGTAAATTACTGGTATCATGCTAATACGCTCACGAATCTGACTAAAGCTACGACGGATCTCTTGCCCGAGTACAGAGTTTTGCTATATCCCGAAACGCCATTGTACTCAAGACTTGATCACAAAGCCTGAATGCCCTTGAAGAACCCATTAGCCATGAGCTCTGGGTTCCCCTTGACCAGCTCCCTCATCCTCTCCACTTGTTGTTTCTTCGTGAGGCCCTTGCTCTCTACCTCTTCCTTCCACTTCACCAGCACCTCCTTAAGCATCCGGCTTCCATCTTCCACCTCTTCTTTACTGGCTTGAACATACCCCTCTTCGTGCTTTCCAGCGAAATCCTCCAGTTCGTCG